TTAATGAATTTAAAAGTTTTACCTAAACCTATTGTTCATGATGCTCTTCATTTACCAAAAGATGTTTTTGAACAAGGTGAAACATTAACTATTCAATGTGAATTTGATAAAACACCTGATGAAAGTTTAGTTTGGAAATTAAATGATGTACCATTAGATCAACTTAAAGACGATCGAATTACCATTGAAATAGGAGATAATGGAAAATCATATACATTAACTGTTAAAGATCTACGACCTAAAGAAGATCAAGGCATTTATAAACTTGAAAATTCACATTTAGTACTTGAAACACCATTTGTTCGTGTTATTGAAAATGTTGAAGAAGTAGAAGAAGAAACAACTATTTTACTTGAAGATGAAGAAACTGAATCATTTGAATTACAAAGAAAACCAAAAATAGAAGAAATAAAAGAAGAAGTAAGAAAAATTATATATTTTTTTTCTAGAAAAAAATTATTTCTCATTTTATAGCAACCGAAAAATATAACACAAGAAATTGTACCAGAAGAAGTTGTAGAAAAACCAGCACCTGTCATTGAAGAAGAACAACCTGCACCTGTTGAAGAAGTGATATCAAAACCGGTTGAAGAAGAAAAATCTACACCAGTTGAAGAAGTAAAACCACAACCAGTAGAAGAAGAGAAACCTGCACCAGTTGAAGAAGTCAAACCTGCACCGGTTGAAGAAGAGAAACCTGCACCGGTTGAAGAGGTAAAACCACAACCAGTTGAAGAAGAGAAACCTGCACCGGTTGAAGAGGTAAAACCACAACCAGTCGAAGAAGAAAAACCAAAACCAGTAGAAGAAGAGAAACCTGCACCAGTTGAAGAAGAAAAACCTTTACAAGAAGTGAGTTTTTTATTAGTATGCGATTCGTTTGAATACAAACATATGTATGAAGAACGCTTTTGAACGTAAAAAGCATTGCATAATAACCAGTGCAAGAAGTAATCAAGCTAGTTCACATAACAAAATGCATATATGCATTCACATGACATAGATTTGTATTTTATTGAATGCGACCACAAATAAATACATTTATATAAGAGACGAGTTTTCGAAGGAGAACTCATTATAAATAACACTTTCTTTCCTATACATTTCAACAATATTTAACACACTCTTTTTTTTTATTTCAGCAACCAAAACCAACTGAAGAAGTTGAACAACCTGTAGAAGAAGAAGTGAGTATTTCTCTTTTCATACTTTACCAAAATAGCATATCCATCATTCTTTTCTTTTACAGAAACCAATTTCCGAGCCAGTGCCAGAAACTCCAGAAGTGGTGGAAGAAATAAAAGAAGAAGTTCAAGAAGTAAAAGCAGAAGAAGAAATACCAAAACCCAAATTTGTAAAGGATCTTAAAGTAAACAAAACTACGTTAACTGAAGGTGAACAACTTATCATTGAAGCAGAACTTGACTCCATTCCTACAAAAGTACAATTACAAATAAACGGTCAAGATATACCGATCGATCGAGTTAAAACAGAAATCAAAGATAAGAAAATCAAGTTTACATTAGACAACATCAAACTTGATGAATCTGGTGATTACACTGTTAAAATCAATGATGAAGTTGATAGCAAACCAGTATCAATCACAGTCAATGCTGATATTCCTAAATTTGTCAAGAATTTAACAATCAATAAAAAACAATTTGATGCAGGCGAAACACTTGACTTCGAATGTACACTCAACAAACCCTTCGATGAAATAGTCTGGTTAAAAGATGGTCAACCAATTGAAGAAGATGCACGTGTTCAATTCACAAAAGATGGTCCAAAACTTAAATTAACAATTAAGAATGCACAACCAACTGACCATACCGGTACTTATTCAGTTAAAATAAAAGATGTAGAAAGTGACAAAGTATCTGTCACAGTCACGAAAAAAGTTCCTAAATTTATTAAAGAACTTAAACCAAACAAGACAACACTTCTTGAAGGTGAACAATTACTTCTTGATTGTGAACTTGACACTGTACCAACAACCGTTCAACTACACATCAACGGAGAAGCTGTTCCCGACGATAGAGTCAAGACAGAAATCAAAGACAAAAAAATTAAATTCATATTAGACAACATTAAACTCGATGAATCTGGTGATTACACACTTAAAGTTAATGATGAAGTTGACAGTAAGCCAGTATCTATAACTGTTAATGCTGATATTCCCAAATTCGTCAAAAATCTAACAATCAATAAGAAACAATTTGATGCAGGTGAAACGCTTACCTTCGAATGTACACTCAACAAGCCCTTCGATGAAATAGTCTGGTTGAAAGACGGACAACCCATCGAAGAAGATGCACGTGTTCAATTTACAAAAGATGGTCCAAAACTTAAACTAACAATCAAGGATGCACAACCAACAGATCACACTGGTACTTATTCAGTTCGTGTGAAAGAAGTTGAAAGTGATCAAATACCAGTTGCTGTGACGAAGAAAGTACCAAAATTTGTCAAAGATCTCAAGGCAAACAAAACCACATTAACTGAAGGTGAACAATTAGTCCTCGAATGTGAACTAGATACAGTTCCAACCAATGTACAACTCTCTGTTAACGGACAACCTCTACCAGAGGATCGAGTGAAAACAGATGTTAAAGATAAGAAAATCAAGTTTACTCTTGACAATATTAAACTCGATGAATCTGGTGATTATACAGTCAAAATTAATGATGAAGTTGATAGTAAACCAGTATCAATCACAGTCAATGCTGATATTCCTAAGTTTGTCAAAAATTTAACAATCAATAAAAAACAATTTGATCTTGGTGAAACACTTACTTTCGAATGTACACTCAACAAGCCCTTCGATGAAATCGTCTGGTTGAAAGACGGACAACCGATAGAAGAAGATGCACGTGTTCAATTCACAAAGGATGGCCCCAAACTTAAATTAACAATTAAGAATGCTCAACCAACTGATCATACTGGTACATACTCTGTTCGCGTAAAAGAAGTCGAAAGTGATCAAATACCAGTCACTGTAACAAAGAAAGTACCAAAATTTGTCAAAGATCTTAAAGCAAACAAAACAACATTGACCGAAGGTGAACAACTAGTTCTCGAATGTGAATTAGATACAGTACCAACCAATGTCAAACTTCAAATAAATGGAGAAACAGTCCCAGAAGATCGTGTTAAGACTGATATTAAAGATAAGAAGATAAAATTCACGTTGGATAATATTAAGCTTGATGAATCTGGTGATTATACTGTTAAAATCAATGATGAAGTTGATAGCAGACCGGTTTCAATTACCGTTAATGCTGATATTCCTAAGTTTGTCAAAAATCTAACAATCAATAAGAAACAATTTGATCTTGGCGAAACACTTACTTTCGAATGTACACTTAATAAACCCTTCGATGAAATAGTCTGGTTGAAAGACGGACAACCCATCGAAGAAGATGCACGTGTTCAATTTACAAAAGATGGTCCAAAACTTAAATTAACAATCAAAGATGCACAACCAACAGATCACACTGGTACTTATTCAGTTCGTGTGAAAGAAGTCGAAAGTGATCAAATACCAGTTACTGTAACAAAGAAAGTACCAAAATTTGTCAAAGATCTTAAGGCAAATAAAACCACATTAACTGAAGGTGAACAATTAGTCCTCGAATGTGAATTAGATACAGTACCAACCAATGTTCAACTTTTCATTAACGGAGAACTTGTACCGGAAGATCGAGTGAAAACAGATGTTAAAGATAAGAAAATCAAGTTTACTCTTGACAATATTAAACTCGATGAATCTGGTGATTATACAGTCAAAATTAATGATGAAGTTGATAGTAAACCAGTTTCAATAACTGTCAACGCTGATATCCCTAAATTTGTCAAGAATCTAACAATCAATAAGAAACAATTTGATCTTGGTGAAACACTCAATTTTGAATGTACTCTGAACAAACCGTTTGATGATATAGTCTGGTTGAAAGATGATCAACCAATTGAAGAAAATGAGCATGTTCAATTCACAAAAGATGGTCCAAAACTTAAGTTGACAATTAAGAATGCTCAACCAACAGATCATACTGGTACTTATTCAGTTCGAGTTAAAGAAGTCGAAAGTGATAAAGTGCCGGTTACTGTAACAAAGAAAGTACCAAAATTTGTTAAAGATCTCAAAGCAAACAAAACCACATTAACTGAAGGTGAACAACTCATTTTGGAATGTGAACTTGATATGGCACCAAGCGATGTTAAACTT